TTCGCACAATCCGCGAAATCTCGCAACGGAGCAAACCAGGGGATTCGCGTCGCGCTGCCAAGTACGAGTCAATTCGCGCAGCCTTTGAAAAGACTTAAGCGGTTGTCGCGGTAATCGGATAGAAAAGTTTCTTGCTCCGCCGAACGACAACGACGACGACAACGAAGCGTCCGGAGCTAACGATCGATCGAACGAACGAACAATCGATCGATCGATCATTTGATCATTTGATCGATCGATCGAACAAACGAACAAACGAGTGATCGATCGAACGAACGAACGAACGAACGAACGATTCTCGAGACTCTTGGCTGCGTTTCAAAGCCGTTTCGTGGCTCTTGAGGCCGTTGCAGTCGAGGACCAGCAGCCGATTAACCTAAATCTTTGCCATCCTTTTTGCAATTCACACGAGCCGCGATGGGAAAGCGAGATTCGCGCCCGATCGAAGGAAACTGATAATGGGCGTGGCACAGGGAACTTATTCTTTTATCTTGGAATAATCGGCTTACGGAGCGCGAAGTTTCTTGCGTCCGCTAATAATGCAGGTGTGTTCTTTTTTTTTTATTAATATTAAAATTAATAAAACAGCTTATATGCGATCGAAACTCAAAAATAAAATTGAAAGAACTGTAAGAGCCGACCGTCGAAATGACGTACTTCACATTTTAAATTACTCTCTCATTTTAAATTGCAGAAATGTTCCGAGTGGTTTTTTAATGAGGAAAACTACATGTGAAGTATCGAAAATCTTCGCAACTGTAAACATTTTTCGTTACTTAATTATTTCAAACTTAAAGAAGTTAAAAATAACGACTAAAACGATTTTTTAAAAATATATCCGCTATTAAATTGACGGATGTGGCAAAAACCAGATATACATTCAGCTCCGATGTCAAACAATTGTCGCGCGATTTTCACCGAGGATATTTCTCGCTCGGGAGAGGCGAACTGTCGCGTCTTTGCGCGCGACATAATTCACAACGGAGAAAAGAAGCGCGGCGCGCGAGTGTATGAGAGCGGCTAATTGCTAAAGTTTCACGATCGATTCCGCAAGTTGTTCTTTTCTCGTTGTAGCTGTCTTTTGCGTAACATTTTTTCTCCCGAGGGGTTCTCGAGATGTGGGACGCGTGAAGAAAAAAACAATCAAGAATTGTTCTCGTTCGGGATCGAATGGAAAAGTTCTCGCTCTCTCAACTTTTCCCCGCGTATTTTTAAAACAGATTAACTCGATCGAGCGAATTGAGCGACAGCGAGAGTTAGAAGAACGTCGATGACACGGCGCGGGGGTTGATACAAAGACGGATCTCTTTGAGTAATTTTTATGTCAACTGTGTGTGGAGTCAGTTTAACATAATTGCGCGGGACACAGAGAAGAAGTCTCTGTGAAATTGCGCGGGAGTGTATGCTCGCGAAAGAGAGACAGCCGCCAAGCCAGCTGTGATCAATGCGGCGAAATCTCGAGTTGACATCGCGCGGAAAAGCTCGTTTGGGAATTGATTCAATTCTCCCGTTCTTTCGCGCGCGCGCGCGCGCGCTGCAGAAAAGCCGCGCGAAATTCCTCGCATCCCGCAAACTTCAAAAGCCGGCCGACCGCGTTAATTCATATACGTGGCCACGCGCGAGGAAAAGTGGAAAATTATTCCGGTCGTGAATATAACGCGGAATTATATACAAAGCGAACAAGCGAGGGCCCCCGTTATGCGTTCGAGGGAGCAAACAAACGCGGCGCGCAAATGCATGCACGCGCGACCGTGGTCGCCGAGACGTAACGTCAGCTACTGGACGCCCACATTTTGTTAATGAATTCGAGCGAAGCCGGCCTTGTTGGACGCGAGCTGCTTCCCACGGATATTTAATTTCCCGCATACGATAGTCGCGCAACGTCTATGTCGTGTTCTCTTACTGGATATCAAGAGGCACGGTAGTGTGCCTCCCGCCAAGTTCACGCGCAACGAAGTCGCGCTCGAACTCGTGTTGTTTTTCCACGTCTCCCTGTCACGTGACTTTAGTCACGTGTTGTTTCTCCGCTCCTCCGTGTCAAGTGACTTTACTTTTGTCACGTTTTTGAAGACGCGTGACTAATGCAAAGTAAATATTTTACGTTGTAATTATTTCTGTAATAATTGTCCGACCAACAGGTATTTTTAAAAAACGTTTTTTACCTTGTGTTTTGAAATGCGCAAAATGTGTCGGAATTTTGCCAAAAGATTATTATGACTTGTAAATTTTCTCCGTGTGACATTCTCTGAGGGTTAACATGATGCGTCGCGAAATTGTTGTGCGATAGCGCGATCAAACGTGGAGGATGGAGTGTGCTTGCTTTTTTTTTTTTTTTTTTTTTATTTTCTACGCGAGCACAGTAAGGCAACTTTTCGGACTGTGCGCGCGCGCCTGCCCGCCTCTTTCCCTCGCTTTTTTTCGACATTTTCCGCTCGTTTTTCAGCTTTATCCGGCGACTCGATAAATTTCACAACGGTAAAAGCCGGAATTCGCCGCAGTTTCCCCATTTGTTGGCAAATTTGCTCGGTCTCTGCAACCGGACGCAATGTGTGTGTGTGTATCTATATATATATGTATATATATATTTTATTTACCAGGTGGATTCTACAGCTTACTCTCTTATCGTAGCTAAAATTAGACAATAAAATATTCGTTACACCGTGAGAGATGAGGTTAATATTGCCGTGCGAAAAGTCGCGCGAAAAGTCAAAATATATTTGTTATCAAAACTGAAATTGCAAAATAGAAGATAATGAAACACTTTGTGCGATCAAACGTACAATTTTTTATTTACTCCATACCGGCGCGATTTTTTTTTTTTTTTTGCCGTAAAAGCGCGTCTCTGGTATAAAGTTCAATAAATCAGCAAAGCAGCGTCGAGAAACCGGGCGAAAGCCTCGTAAAACAGTGGGGTTATTTGTCAGACGCGCGTTCCGCGGGGATAAAATGGGACGTTAGATCGTACGTCAGACCGGGAGAAACGTACATTGCGATCTGAGAGCCGTTCCTGACGGCCGTTGAAAATTCTGAAAAATTATGTCGCCCGATCGCGAAATCTTTACGAAACTCCGATTTTCGCGCCTTCTCGCGAAGATTCTCCCGAACGCGCGCGAGAGACCGCCGGTTCTCCTCCATTTTTCAAAACACTCCCGCGAAACGTCATCTCTTCTGTGTGCGAGGGCACTCAGGCCGCCCGTATAAAACATCACGGGAACAGCCGATACTCGACGATTCTATTTTTTTTTTTTTTTTTACAGAGCTCGTAATTTTATAACGACACCGCGCACAATATACACGCACCGGTTTTATTTTTCCACGACTTTTTCATCGGGCTCTCGTCTCTCCATATTTTCCGCGCGATCATTTTTGCCGGTTTGCAAAATAACGGTTGGTACGCCCACTTATGTGTACACGCGTGTATGCGTGTTTTCATTTGTCGTCGCTGACGTCACCTCGAAAGTTGTATGACTGTTTACAGCAACTATTTATTCAGGGTAACATTCTCTCTCTCTCTCTCTTTTTTTTTCTCTCTGTCGACATTACACGTGTCGTTTATTTTCACGAAATGGCCACACCTCTGTCGCAGTTCCATTTCCGTAATTTCACAAAAGAGAATTGTCACCGTGCAATTAGAGGGAAGTAATATCTCGCGATAGGGGAAGATATGTGTGTGTATCTCTCGGAAGCGACGAGACGCGAATTTAGGATCGTTATTTCGTCGGGTTTTTAAAGTCTCGCCTCAATCTCTTCGGCTTTAGCGAGTAAAATAAAATGCTTAATTATCTTTTTTTTTTCCTGCAAACGTACAGAGAAAGCAGCTTTTCTCGTTTTTCGGGAACTGGAGAGTTTATTTTGAAAATATCCTCGCTGGCTTCTTTAAAAGAGGAGGCGGTTTTTTTAAACTGCAGTTTTATTTATGATATGAAACATATATAGTGTGAAACATACATGCGCAACTACGTATGCATGCGCGCGCGCGCGCGCGCTTGTGTGTGTGCGTGTAAAATATTTGAAAAAGTTAATTTTCCTCTCAAAGAATCAAGAGAGACTAGCTGGAAAAAAAAAAAAAATATTTATGTTAACGTGTAACACGGAGCTCTTTTTGCCTCTCTCTGTCTCTCTCTTTTCTCGAATATAAAACACATGCGAATCGTAAGATTTGATTGTTTGATTAATTTACTTTCTCTCACGAGAGCGGTAAGCTCGCGTCTCGGTTCAATTTGAAATTAAAATGAAAAATTGCAACTCGTCGTGATGAAACTAAGTGGCGCCGTAAATAACGATAACAGGAACGTTTCTTCCGTGGGGTAACTCGTTATTGTATACACGTATCGGATAATAGAATTGCAGACTAAACGCAACATAAAATATTCTTTCGCCAACTTGGCTCTCGCGCGCGCGCGTGCTATTTTATCTGGCCTCCGTAACTTACGGCGGAGCGTGGTCAGCAACCTACATTTCAACCCGGTTTCCCATCGACGGTATTTTAGATATTATCCACGAATTGTTGCAAACTGGCACGTGAACTATCACGCGAGCTCACGTTTCCTCTTCTTCGTCCTTCTCCACTCCCGATATTTTTCCTTCGACAACACACACACACACACACACCCTTCCACTCCCCCGTCTTCTTCTTCTTCTTCTTCTTTATCGCTGACCTCGGCCTGAACTTCGAACGCGGAGATTACGCGTTCTTATTTTATACCCGCGCAACCCTGAATTTTCATGCACGTGATGAACGATCGTTCGTCATATTTCCCCGCTCACGTGCGCGTATTCTAACCTCGCGGCTCTCGTACCGCATCAATCGACATTGCATTTTGGCGCAAAACCTTGATTCCGTGACGGTGCGAAAATACGACCTTCGAACTAGACTTCGTGAGCGCGCGTGCGTTATGTCGAAAAATACATAATTTAAGTGTTCCCTCTCCCATCCATTGTGTATCTGCGGCGAATAAATTGACTTTTTCTCTAACTCGATTTTTTTTTCTGTATTTCAGGATGATACCCGCATAATGAAAGTCGGCGATAAGAAGCGTTGGATACACGATCCGAATAGTAAGTAGCGTGATATATGGAATGTAAGCGCGCGTAGTTTTTTTTGTAAAAAACATATAAATGGCGCATGTTTGTAAATTCGAGAGAATCTCTTTTCGTTCTTGAATTATTTAACAGCTGCAAAAAAAAAAAAATAAAGTTTTCTATTATTACACGGTCAAGACTTATTTCGAGATTAATCAGCAGCAGACGCGCGAATCAGATTTCGCTTCGCGTGTTTGAATCTCAAATGGCGATTGGTCAAAATATTTGACTCGGCATATAATTGTATCTCATTGTGGCGATGTTTGCGGCGCATAGCCGGCACGTTGACATTGCGACCGATTCATTCCGAATTGCGTTATCAATGCATCAAGTGAATTTCGAACACACACAACACATATATATATATATGTACAGAGAGAGTAGCGTGTATTCTCCCTCGGGAAACCGTCGCGCGCGATGACACCGCGTCCGCCTTTCCGAATGCCTTGCGATTTTTCACTCCCGCGCGCGGTGCCACGTTTTTCGCCAACTTTTCGCGCCGCGGGAGGATCGTAAAGCCGGATATACGTACGACCCGTATGAATTCGAATGGAATCTCTCTGGCTGTCGGCTGGTTCGCTCGGCGAAATGTGATATTTATCGCGAACGTTGCCGCTAAATTCTCCAGAAAATTCCAAATATTATATATAGTTCGCGCGCGCGAGCACGGGAATATATATCGGAGCGGAATACCGAGTAAATGTTGGAACGATAGACGCGGTTGTGTTGTTGAAAATGACGCGCGAACATCGTCGACGACGCAGCGAATATCGCGCGCGAAATGTACGCGACGTGCGCTTAAAAATAAATATTATTCTTTTTCTCACGGCCGCGTTGCAAAATTTCATAAGAGAACTTTTGGAAAAGGGATATGTTTTGACGCGAAAGAAAAAAAAACTTGTTATCTCCAACATCAAGTGTCGATTGAAATGCAACATTCAAACACGTCAGGTATTTACTCTGCAAATTTTTTACGATCAAACGATATAATGTTTAAAATATAATTTTTATTGGTGGAAAAACAAGATATCTCGCAGTGCGACTGCGAAAGTTAACAAAACAAATTGAGGTCGCCAGAAAACGAGGTAAAAAATAAACAACGTATCTTTTCACAAATTCTGAAAATGGTTTGTAACAAGTTGCGATTAGCCTTCATTTTTCGTACATATTGTGCGCTGCAATGATCTGTCAGTTTGATGTTGAGAATACGTGCTCGGAAAGTGTATCTGCGAGGAGATGTAATAAAGAATTCAATTCGGCGTTGTTTGCGCTCGATCGACAATCGCGAGTAAAAATCAGTTACTAATTTGCACGCGGATGTACTGTATGTACATTGAGAATTATTGTTTAAAATCGGAAGAGAGGATTTTATGAAACGAATTTTTAATAATACTGATTAAAACCAAAAAAAAAAAAAAAAAAATCACACAAATGTGCCAGCTGTGTCTGTTCGTCAATCGTTTCCGATTTGAACAGCAGCCCCCATTGTTTAAAACACACAGTTGGATTAACTTCGTCAAAGATCTGTTATGTGCGAAGCGTTGTTGTACGCGGCGCGTCGTTAGCAGGACGGATTTATTAATGAAAAATATAATCCTCTTGTGAAAAAAAAAAAAAAAACATACATACATACACATGGTTATGGCGCGGGAAGAGCACAGGATAAAGTCACGCATAGATCGGATGCGGAGTTGGATACATTTATCCCATGTGTTTTTTTTTTATTTTTATTATTTTGCTGCAACATTACTTTTGTGTTGTATTTGGTTTTCTCTCTCGACTCTTTTCAACTCGGCTTTGACGCGCGCGCGTTTTGTGTGTCACTCGGACGCGCGCGCGCAAGCAATTCTTTTTAATTCCCGTACAAATGTCATTTTCTTTTTGCGTGTTCATTTCTATTATTACACACACCGATATACATAACGCGTGCATTTATAAATACGCGCGGCTATTTGTTGTACGTTTAACCGTAATTGCATAAAGCAACAACACACAACATGTGCGCGCTTTTCAGAAAGCTGCGAACTAATTGCTGGTTTTTTTTTTGTTTTTTTTTGTTTTTTTTACAATATCAGGTTTTACGTATTGTTCAAATATAAACGAACGTTGCGTTGAATTAATGTATACGTAATTATAATCGATTCGCAAATTACGTTACACGTTTACGTTTATATACAAAATGCGCGCGCGCGTAACGTGTGCGTAACGCGTGTCATGAAAGTTTATTGATATAATCGCAAGTGCTTGTTATAATTAAGTGAATAATTTCATATATCGTGGTAATTATTAATCAGATGAACGTAACGCATATATAAATTATATTTCCAAAACATGAATATCACATTGCAATCTAGTCATGGAAATTGCCCTTACGAAAGAAGTGTGTATTTTATCGCGCAGGAAATTCACGAGAGAGAAACTTTGTAAATATAATTTATCTTGTATATTGCAAGATATTTTGTTTCTTCTTTTGTGAGGAAAATGTAGAAATTTCCATTTACTTGTGTGTGTAAAAGTGGATACAAACGTACGAAGTGCGGGAAAGTCGACGATGAGGTCGACGATGTTTACCATCGACACCTTGAAAGCAAGACAACCTCGATCATTTTTAATGAAACCGCTTTGCAACAGCCAGATGAGAATTTTTTACGATACAGTTAGGTGCGACGCGCGCGCGAGAGAGAGAGAGATGAGAATATGTTAAATTCCACACATACAAACACGCCCGCCATTTCTTCCAATTTTCTTCGCGGAAGTTACTGCGTGTTACGGCAAATTCTTAAGTAAAGTCGTGCCATGAAGGTCGGCGGTAACTATACGATAGGTTCCATTTCACGCCTCTTAACGCGAAATAGTTTAAGAGTCGGCGAGGAAGCCCCGGGAACGTAGGAAAGGATGTTACGATGAGTCGAGTCACGTATTTAATACCTCTTTCCACGAAACCCCGATCTCGCGCGCACTCGATTTTGCGATGTTATCCGGCGCTGATCGTCGTCGTCCGGGCGACGACGCCTCATCCGTAGTGTACACGATGCATCCTTAATTCTTCAACGGAGTCGATAGCCGTTTATCGATCGAGCGCTTCCTCTCTCGAAGCAACAACGCGAGTTATCGCGAGTTATCAAAATTTTCCTCTCGGAAATACGTAGAAAAAAAAAAAAACTTGTAAGATAAATAATTATCATGTCGGTGATAACATTGGGACTGTAACGTGCTTGTTGTGTGAAACTGTGATCTCTAAAATTTTGACTGAGAAAAAAAACTTGACTGTATCTTGCTTTGTAGCTGAAATAGCCTGTTATAGAATAATTTATTTATAATTACCAGAATTTACCTCATTTTCTTTTTACTTATATAATTTTTTCACATTTGTGCAACAGCGATTTGATTGAATTCAAGTTTTCCTTGAAGCGCGTCACGCGTGTGCCGCTCGGTCAAACCATGTATCATTTATAGGTACCGCCTGAACGCTAATCACCGGAGTGCATGAACGGAGTGTGCGTGTTTCACACGTGTGCATCGCCGCGTCAAGATGACAACGCAACGCGCGTCTGAATCCGCGCGTTATTATCGTCGCGTCGGCGTTATATCGGGGGCGTCTCGTTGTTCTCTCCGCGCGCCCATTGGCCCATATATCGGCTCTCTATATTAACGTCGTCGATCATTCCATCTTCGCCCGCGCAACGCCAGAATCGATCGCTCATCCCGAGACGCGCCTAATTCGAGATGCAGTTTCCGCGCGCGCATTGTGTCGCGTAATCGCTCCAGTATTGTAATATACATCGCCGTGTAATCCATATTGTAATATCGTCGAGTCGTGCCGCTCGAAACCCTCTCTTCCCCTTGCGCGATACACGGAGACGATGGGGGCGATTTATGGTATCCGCGGGATCCCTCGTGGCGACGTGGTGTTTCGGTAATGAATGGCGAGAGGATCAGCCGTCGAGCTATCGACCGCTCTCTCGTAAATCGTTGGCGCAATCCAGAAAGAACACTCCCTGCGGTGGTCTCGGAGTAATTTAAGAGATCCGAGGAATTTCGCTATTCGAAAGGTAAACTCCCGTAGTACTAGCTTTTCTTCTCGCTCCGTACCCGAAATTAATAACTGTATCAGCGATTACAATACGTTAATAGCGAAAGTTAGCCGTTAACGTGACAATGCCGGCTGCCATGGCAAAGTGAATTTTCAACCATCCTTTATGAACTTTGAAACAAAAATTGGGCCACCGGCGACGAGGAGAACAGGAGAAGGGAGAGAGAAATAGTTCCAAGTAAATTAGCGCGTTCGTCGAGCGAGCGAGCGAGCCGCGAAGTCTCGAGATCCGGTCCTTTCTGCAATTATAATATATTCCGTTCTCGTGCCACCCCCGTCGTCTTCATCCTCCTCCTTTTCCTTCTTCTGACGTTCGTCATACTCCGCTGACTTGGAAGTCCTTTTCTTTCCCGCCCACACCCATCCCTCTCTCTCTCTCTCTTTTTTCGCTCTTTCTCGCTTTACCGTATAATCAACGCGCCGCGGTCTGGAGAACAAGAAGCATCTTTGTCCCACGCGACTTCTGTTGCGCGTCCGACGCCGTTGTTCTCTCTTGCTCGAAACAATCCTTGATTATGTTTCACGGTTTTCCGCAGCTGCGACAACTTTTTCTGACCGTTCGAGAACTTTGTCATTTTGCGGAGCGCAGCTCGAAGAAAGATAACGCGGAATTGTATTACTTCTTCAACGTTTTTTTTTCTTTTTCACTTTTACGTACAGCTGTTCGTAACACACTCAAATGTCGAGTGCTCCTTTTATGGACCATAAGGAAATTTTTAGTCTCTTTCGAATGACGGTTTCGCGAGAACTCCAATTGAGATTCAGAACATTAAAAAAAATAATAATATAATTGGGTTCTTAGGACTGATAAGAGCAATGTTATACTGCTAATTAAAAAAAAAAAACTCCCCTAATTATATATTTACCTCTAAGAGTCGTAAAATGTTTTCCTCCGAAAGAGTTGTCAACCACGGAACTTTGAAAAATTATTCAAACACTTTTTTATTAACTTTGTTTTTTTTCAGAGAAAAACTTGAAAGTTCTCTGCCTGATTAAGGTAATTTTCCTAATGGCCAGACATTAAAGAAATAATTATCGCAGATGTGTATAAATATTACTCGTAACACAATTCTCAATGTTTTAAATATTTTTTAAATATATTTCTAATGAACTAAAACTTATTATTTTTTCAATCTATTTTTTATTATTGGTTTTTTTTGTTATAATTTTTGTTATTTTTTTGTTAAATGTGCGCGGTATTTGTTCTCCATTTACTGGTACATTTACATTGTTAATTTTCGCATTCTTTTTTTCTTTTTTTCTTTTTTTTTTTTTTTTTTTAATAACGCAAACATTTGCGCGCTTCATGATCGGCGGCGTTTGAGTCAACGTTTGCATAAATTTTTACGAAGACTTTTCGCGCAATCTCTTAGCGGAGAACCCTTCACCTCGCCCTCGGAATACTTCAAATATTTTTTTTTCCCACCCGGAGCTGGAAAGCCGCTCGCGCGCTGCTGGGCTACGAAACTCCTGACTTTACTGCCGCGAAATCCGGAGAGTTACTCTCGGTCGGATTGGTTCGATCCGACTGGCAGAACCGCTCAAATATAGCCGCGCGAATGCTTATGCAACGTTGAATATATTTTTCCATCTCTTTCTCTCTTTCCGTCTTTCTTTCTTTCTTTTTGACCCCGACGCGTTCGATTCCGCGAGACGTATATCTACGTTCCCCGCGGATTCTCACGCGCGGAAACTGCCGAATCGCGTTATCCTCTTTCTCATCAATGCTTCTCTCGCGCGAGAAAACCGTAATGGCGCGATGCTCGCTCCATTAAACGGGATCCGTCGTGATATATCCCGTGGCGCGTGTGAGAGATCCTATCGCGCGCGCGAGGAGAGGATCGTTCGTTTCGTGGCTGCAAGTGACGTGCGCGCGTTCCGCACGGGAAAAGTTTTTAGAGAGCGAGAGCGCGCCGCCGACGAGCGTGACGGACGGAGCTTAACTTATATAGCCCCGCACTCTTCTTCTTCTGTCCCGCGCTCGTCTAATCCTGCGAAATTAAGCCGTCAGGAAAGTCTCGGCCAGGTCTTCTTAATTCATGTACGCGGTTGACTCTAATTCCGACCTAACGATGTCTCCCGGTTTTGTGCGATATTACTTCCGTCCGGAGACACGAAGAGAAGCTTCTCCCGTGTCTCGTAGGAAGAAACTTTTAATTGGATATTATTTTGATATCTCTCGCGTTTTTTTTTCTGGTTTCCGCACGGGAAGCGAGGCGCGACGCCGGAAAACTCTCTCCTCACACATTGACCTAACGAAAAGGGCGGCGACGTTCTTCGCGTTTCGTCTTCCGGTTGCAACCTGACGACGAGGTACATACATTGAGCGATTTCGCGCGACATCCGTCAAGTGTTTACAGATGCTTATGACTGTTGCGCGAACTATTAAACTCGAATTTTAATGAGCTTACGGCAATTACGAGTTGTTACTGCATCACATAAAAAAAAATTCAACTGCAAGTGTAGTACGAATTTTTTTTGCATAAACACTTTTTCCGACGTGAATAAAATAAACGAGTGTTAAACAGAACTCTTTCGAAACCATTAAGGAAAAGATAAAAGACGCAATGACATTTATTAACGAAATAATTTACAACTAAGTTCGTAAAGTTATAGAAAATAATAACATTTAAAAGCATCATCTTGCAAAATACTTAAAACACCGAGAATTGTTGCTTACATGTCTGATATTTGTTTCTTTAATAAATGTCCGATCATTGAAAAGGTTACGTCGCTTTGTAGCTGTCACTTGAAACATTGAAAACAAACGATCTCGACGCGAGTTACATTAACATTTCTCCAAATTTATTTTGATCTCCTATTCACGCGAAAGTAATATAGAGAGAGCAAGAAACTTTTAAATAATCCTTTAAAGAGCCCCCCGCAAAGTCCGCGTATAAATGAACTGTCATGCGGAAGCGAACATTGCGAGCGAACTTTCGCGAGTTCAGTAATAGTATTCGTAATACAGTTTGTCACAGTAATGCGAGTAATGTAATAATAAGCTCTCGAGTAAACTTGCAATTAATTGCATATTCTATAAAAGCAGAGCGAGAGACAAAAGTCAAAGTTATATATTTGTGCCTCTTTGTGTGTTCGAGATGCAACTCTTTATATTAATAATTTTACTGTGTCTACTATTACACGTGTGTGTGTGTGTTTGTGTGTGTATGTGTGCAATTCCGCGCAATATTGTATTACATTAACTCTTAAAAAACGGTCGGCAACTTTAGCTGCTGGACATTAGCCAGTTTTTATGCTTCGCGCGCAAAACCTCGCTCTCTGTCGTCAGATGCTCATTTGTTTCTTGTTCTCCCATCGTCGTACATTTCCCAAATTGCGATGACTTTCTTGCGCGTTCGTAAAAACGAAAACGAGCGACACGCGCATTTAAATGCCGCGTTTGGTAAAAACGAAAGAAAGAGAGGTAAAAAAACAAAAGAAAAAAGATCGAAACTGTTGGCGCAATTTTCGGTGTCAATAAAAAAAAAAAAAGAAAAAAATAAAAAAAAAAAAAGAACAGAATTCTAACGCACTGTCGACCGAGTAATTGCTAGCTCTTATTGGTCGTCATCCTTTACAGTCCGATCGGATTGTTTTTTGGTGACTTTTGCAGTTTTTTAACTGCAACTTTTTTCGCGCGCGTCGAACGGTGGATCGATAAAAAGTAGCAAATTGTCAATGGCTTTCCGAGGATTAATTTATTTAAAATTTACTTTATTTGAATTCTCCAAAAAAAAAACAAATTACTTAACTGCGCGTTAAATTATTCGCTAATAAAATTTTTGAGGAATTTGAACGTTCGAGAAGCAGGGCAACGTGTGCGTTATCAGATAACCGGTACCGCTCCGGTACATGTGGTTGTGCAAGCTGTGACTTGCGTTAGCATATTCCCTTTTCTTTTTTTTTTTTTTCTGGCCGCCGCATGCTGAACAGCCGGCCGCGTGGGGAAGAGCGTGGAGGGTTCCGTTTTATTGATTGCGCGCGAGGACAGCGAGCGAGCGCGGCGACGAGAAGACGGTCCCCGGGGTTAATGGAGAAGAGAGATCCCATTCGACGGCGGGATAGCACGCTCCTCTCTCGTACACACACGACCAATATCGCTTGTCGGCGATTTCCAGGCGAATGGAAATGCTCAGTGCGCGCGCTCGGCTGCGGATGCTGCGTCGCGGATCTCTCTCACACACACACACACACACACACGTACACACATGCACGTGCGCGAGCACGGCGAATTCGTTTCGCTATCGCGAATAGAAAATCTATCCGGATTGACAGCGCAATCGGTCTCATCGCAATCATCGCGGTTCTCTCGTTTCGCTGCGATGATCCGTCGCTCGTTTCCGTTTGCACGAATTATTGTCGCTCGCTTAGTTCGGGGGATGAGAGAACGTGGAAGAGGGAGGAATTACGAGGGGGACGCGTCGGTGATTAACCTTAACGTGTAAGGCGTTATTTGTAGTAGTTGTTGTTGTTTTTACGATAAGAGGATATATAAGATCGATTTTCTCGTATATATTGATAATAACAATAATGCGTTCATTGGTCATGAGCAACAGATATGATGAGAAACGGATAAACTGTGTGAAGGTGGGATGAGATCGAATCCTTGTTTTTCTCGTTTCAGGCGAGCTCTGTCGCCCACTCAACTGCAAGAAGAAGGAACTCTGCCTCTTGGAGGACACCTTCACGGCCGTCTGCGTCTCGAAGAAGGAGCTTCACAAATCAGGGTGAGTATCTTTTGTTTTTTCTCCCGCACAATATATTGTTTTGCAGAAAAAAAGTACATTATACATTGTACAACATTACGTTGCACTCTCAGACTCGGTTAATTAATTTTTTTGATTTTGAGAAGGAGACCGAGAACACACGGTCAAAATGTTCTTTCATATATTTTATATGTTTTTTCAACATCAATATTCACCGTGTATGGTTTCGTCATACACGGTTCGTAAAATTGTTTTTTTTATCTTTTTATGACTGATTGGACATCGGAGGACTCTGTATTTATTTCAAAGAAAAACTGTATATTTTTATATTTTGCATCAGAATTTCTCGAGTCGATAAAATCATCTAGAGAAAGAAAAAAGGAATAAAAATACATGGATATTGTATTTATGCGGAATATATGAACCAAGAGGTAGAGGAAGTCTCGCGGGCGCAGTTTCTTCTTGCAACATGTAAATAAAAACACACAGCAACGGCTATACCGAATATACCGCTAATAGCGTATTCAACATAATCCACCCACTATACGGTCTCGCAAAGCTCGCGTTAAGCGCGCGCGCGCGCGTCCGCGCATGCCGTTCGGTCGGAAACATTTGTGCACCGAGCGCCATTGCGTCTGTTATCTAAATCTTCGGTGTTTATTCCGGATTATAGAACAATATTAGCTGCGACAACGCAATGAGGAGGATATACGTTTTGTGAACGCGCGCGTTGTGCGATTTGAATGATATTTAGACGCGATGGGTGAATGCGCGCCGTTCAAACCGGCCAATTTCTTCGTAAATGATCACCGCATTATCGATCTCTCGCAACGGACCAATTTCGGATCGGGTCGAATAGCCGGAATTCTCAGCGCGTTGTAAGCGGCCGTTCGACGTTGGCATTTAAGCAGCACCGATATTAATGACGATATCGTATCGCCGCAAAACAGCATTAAACCGCGAGCTACCGAATCCGTCCCGGTGATCATTGATTTCCCCTCGCGGTGCTTATTGCCAATTAACTGTAATTGAACGTTTCCAACGGCGATATATGCGCGCGCATACATAACCGAAACCTCCCGAATATCTCGATCACCGGTATTCATCTTGAAGCACCCGCGTACGACATTAAATGACCTTAATGCGTCATTAACGACTAAGCAGCCCGATGGCTCGCCCCCTCGATAAATCGATGCCGCTATTGAAGATTAATTGCGCTGGACGCGCACGCGATTATATCGTCGTTCGGCGCGCGTTTCACTTTCACGTAGGTAGTGTGTATCGATTGCGCGTTCGATTGGATACCTATATGCGTTTTACATCTGAAATTACGTTTGCTAGTTTATTATTCATAGAGATGGGAGGATGTATAAATATATGTAGAAAAATATTAATTATTTTTCATTGAGATAAATATATCACAGCGTGCGGACAAATACTCGGGTCAAATATATTATGTTAATATTTACACATCCAATACTTGTTTTCTTTAATAAATGTTTGATCATCGGGCATCTTATCTTACGTAAACACAATGTAAAAATGTAAGTAGATATCTCACAACTTTAATATTTTATAAACATAGCTTTAAGCACGTACACTAAATAGTTAATTTAACAAAAGTAAAGCTTTTGATGAAAATTATGTTGAAAGATCAAATCTCGAGTACCTTTCTAGCTCTCTCGAGAGAGAGAGAAAGAGAGAAAGAGAAAGGGATTGCGAAAGACAGTACATTGCCGGTTTATATTTTATTTGATTGCGTTAAAGTGGCTACGCCGGCGTGTAATAAATGTCGAGAAACCCGGAAATTTAGAACGCGCGCTAGTTAAACACCGGGAGTTTTAGTTCGGTAAAACGTAATTCGAGTAATGGTCGTTTAATTTTTGTCCCGTATATAAAGCTAATTCGCACTTTGCGCCTGCAATTCCTAGGGCGCCACCTTCAAGAGTACCACCACCACTACCACCACCACCGGTGGTTCCCGGACAGAGTTGTAGGATACGAAACTTCATAACGACCATTAATTCATCGAATAAAGTAGGTTCTATGCAAATCGCGCGCGTTGAATTGCTCAAAGTTTCTCCTCGTACCTGAGATAGAAACTATTATAATATGAAGTGGAAACAACGCGAGTTTGCATTTTATTTGTGGTGGGAAAAAAAAAACAAACCGCCTTATTGCTCTTGCTAATTAGTGCGAAAAACTACTGTTGACGTTGTAGCGAGAGAGAAAAAACCGGACGATTTATTGTATTACAATTATGAAAAAAAAACTTTTCTCTGAAAAGCTCCTTTCTCTCTCTCTCTCTCTCTCTCTCTCTCTCTCTCTCTCTCTCTCTCTTTCGAGTTTATCGTTTTCAACTTATCGCCGTTTAAATCCGTCACTTTTTTTTTAGTATTTCTCTTCTATATTCTTCGTGACATTTTTTTTGTAAATAAATAAATAATTGCGTTTTTTTTTTCAGTGACATAGTAATTCCGAAATCTCGCGCGGTTCAACAGCGACGGATGAGAACCGAGACCTCGGTCGATTCCGAGGACGACGACGCCTTCTTCGATTCCGAGGACGACGACGAGGATCAGGACGAGTCGAAGTAAGTGACAACGAATTCCATTTATCCCGTTTAATCCGCCGCACGGATTATTCGCTCTGGACTATCTGATTAAAACGTGAAAAGTTTTCGAAGCACAACCGCCGCGCTTCTCTTCTCTCGCAGTTATCCGCGCGCGCGGCGAATTTCCCGCTTGAAATTCCATCCGAGAAATCCTATTTTCTTACGATATTCTCTCCCGTTGCGCGCGATATAGCCCGAGGTTATTAATATTAGCGCGACTAAAGAATAAGACGTGATCTTTATGCGGACGGTCTCTGCGAATAGTTTCGAAAACTTCATTTGAAAAAGCCACATCGCTTTGAAACACGACGGTGAAGTTTTCGCGAGAAAATTAGTTGGGTTGCGCGTGATAACGCGCGGCGACGTGTTTATTTTTCGCGAGCCACGTTCAAACGACGCATTATCAGGCGGCTGCGAACTTTAAACGCGGTTTTTTTTTCTCCCTCGCGGAAAAGAGAAGAAAATTTTTCCCGAGAACAGAATTGAAAAATTTCATTTTCGCGCCGTGTAATCTCTTTATCGATACATGTATAGGTGTACGAGCAAAGGAGAAATTTCCTGTAGATCACGTCTTTTACGCGATAGAATTGTAATACGGCGGGGGATTATCGTATCGAGCAATTTTCGCGGTGAAACTCGAGAGATCCTCTATTTGGATTTGCGCGGATTTCGAGGAGGAAGGAATCGCTGATGAAACGGCGAAGTGCGTAACTTCTCATTTCGAAAATTTCGCTCTTCCCTCTCTGGGAAGAGGGAGAAGATGTCGTTTGATTTTCTCGAGATTAACGACGATAACATCTTGAATACAAATCTGGAATAAAAACCTCGCTCTTGTTACGAGAACGTTAATAATGCGAACGTCGCTTTGACACGAAGAGAAAAAAACGCCAATGATACGAGTTCTGTGTTATATATGTGATTAATTTCACATTGAAGAGAGAGAGAGAGGGAAAAAAACCTTTTGTCAAACGGCGCGCGTCAAATGGACCTCGCAGACTCCGCTTTTGAAAGAGCGCGGGATCGAACACCTTTCCCTCGGGAGAATAAAGTCTCTCGAGCGCGAAATTGAAAACACCGTTCGCCGTTTCATCGGGCTTTCAGATAGAAAGAGAGAGAGAGAGAGAGAGAGAGAGAGAGAGAGAGAGAGAGAGAGAGAGAGAGAGNAGAGAGAGAGAGAGAGAGAGAGAGAGAGAGAGAGAGAGAGAGAGAGAGAGAGAGAGACGCGTGTCTCGCGCTCTCAGACAGCCGCGTTATTAAAACGTGCTTAATTCGACATTAAGCTCAGGAATTACGAGCGTAAATCTGTTTTGACGGTGTGGCGCGCATATACATCATTAAATTGCCATCTGCGTCTTGTCGTGAAACAAATTACCCGCTAATTGTCATTTACTGATGGATATATAAACGATATGCGTATTCAAGTCGCACATATAATACAAATGTTGCAACGACACCGGACGCGCGTACCGATGGCTGAAATGAACATTTATGAAAGAGATCATTATTAGACGTGCAATCATCGCACAAAATAATTTTCAACGCTTTAAACAAAACACGTTATTAAATAACAATTTCTAATGTTTTGCATATAAAATAATATAAATAACACACAGGTAAATATTTTGTTACGACTAGACTTCTTTTCATCAATGCCCGACCAGTGCCACTTGTTTGACAATCAGAACCAGTTCATTTTATTTTTGTTTGTGAGAGTTTCACAATTCGACGTGTACTTTGGCAAAAGATTTTATTCTAATAACAATGTTTCCTTACGAAGCCGTAGTGTTTGCTCTTTGCTTCCGACACGTCAAACAGGAGTTAACGGCACGTAGTAAGAACCGCGGACGTCTAATACTTCCCTCCGGGGAATAAGACGAAAGAATAAATCGAAGAAAGAGAGGAGGAGGAGCGGAAGGATAACGGTAGAAGGTTTTCTTACTACTTAAATTTGCACGAGCGAGCAGAGCAAAGACGTCTCTCTCTCTCTCTCAAACTTCTTTTCTTTTTTTTTTTTTTTAGGCTCTTGCGTCTCCTTCGGAAATTCGTCGCGCACGATAAAATATTAAAGTACTCGCGGCACACGCAGAACGACGCGAGATATTACGCAGTTTCGCAAAATTACTGTCACGTCCTCGGCGCGATCCTCGTCGCCCGATATCTTCCCCAGCGCGTTCCGCGCGCGCAGTTTTTCTTATATCGCATTTACATTTTCTTGTATTATAAGTCCCCATTTTGTGTATTATTCTTTCTGTTACTCTCACGATAGTCGCGCGTACGTGTGTGTGGTACAACACGTAGGATAATAGAATAGAATAAGATAGTGGAACGATGTATTTTAAATTTTAAGATCAAAGAGTTCTCTTCCGAGAGAGAGAGAGGGAGAATGTACCGAAGTATTCCGCGAGCACACTTTATAACCGATGTCCGTCCGCGGTATATATTTATTCGCGGCAATTCGTTTGCATATTCAAGAGAATACATCACACGTGTCCGGAAGAAATAAAACCTCCAAAAAAATTATATTTATAGAAAAACAAGTGTGTTTCGAAAAGCAATTTTTTTCTCGATAAAGAAATTTAGTAATATTTTTTTAATACGTGTAACAACGCGTGTGTGTGTATTGTTTTTTTTTTGTTTTTTTTATACAAACGCGGTTTGCACGCGCAAACTTTTATCGGAGGTTTTTTTCGGAGAGTGAAACAACAAGTAGGTTTTTGCACTCGGTGTAATTTCGATAATTTTGAAACGTTGCCAGAACTCGGTCGGAAAATTGATTTGTCGAAACAAAACACGCGGAAACGTCGTATTCGACATTTTTGACAAACTTCTCGCGAACTGCAAAATTTTGTCATTTTCCATTATCTAAAATTACTTTGGTAGCTCCGGAAGACGCGCCGCTCGCTTTGCATTTTAGGTCACGGCGAGTATAGTATTCCCGAAATAGTATCAACATTAATGTTTCCCGAAATTATGTCTTCGCATAATATTTACATACTGTTACGGGAAACGCACAGTCTTAGTGATATTGTGCGCTGCGCTCTGGAGCTCGCATTTTAAAGAGTTTCCGGTAATTCTCGTGCACATTCTCGCTCTATTTAGTTCGCTCGCGCGTCCTCGCGAAGATACCACCAGGTATTTATCGCGTTATCGCACCCATTCAGACACGCGGCGCTTTTCGGAATCAAAATTTATATCGCGCGAATCGCGAAGCGAGAGTCGTCTTTTCGCGCGAATTTCGCGCGTTTAACTTTGCGACCAACTTGCCGAGTGCAACTTCCCCAGGAAATCGCGTCAAACTAACACACTGCGACGACAAGAAACCGTCATTAACCTTCTCTAATGAACTTTTCTGCATCATCGTGTCGCAATTATGTTGCCGCATTTACGATTTGATTCTATCTCTTGCGTTGGTCTCTTTTTCTTCTCTCTCTCTCTCTCTCTCTCTCTCTCTCTCTCTCTCTCTCTCTCTCTCATCCGATTTTCTCCTCCGATTTTCGGAGCGTGAAAAGCGGACACAGAACGAGAGAGAGAGAGAGAGAGAGAAAGACTGTTGACTTTCGAGGAGAATGTTTTGTAAATAAATTAAATGCACGGAAAATTTTCTATGTGTGAGTTTTTTTTCTTTTTCTGGCCCGCGACCTCAATAAGTCAAAATTTCCACCTCGCAAAACTCGCAATCATCCTCGGTTTACGAGACGCGTGTTTTACACGTCACACTAAAATAACCAAAATGGCAGATTTCAGAAATGCAATTTATTTGCGAGAAGTGTCTTAATTCTATTTTAAAACTAGAGTGTGTTTGAAATATTAATAATCTTTGCATTTAAAAAGTAGGCAATTAATTTTTGGTGATTGATATTATCTAAGTACGAAAGAAATAAAAAAAATAATAAAACACGTGTCTTTCAAATAACAAATAAAATCTTTTTTTCTGCTTACTCATCTGTCAAATTGACGGATCCGACAAAACTGCAACGAACAATGTTCCAATTTTGATTGTCTGGTGGATAATTGAATCTAAAACATATAAATTGCATTCTATTTTTTCATCCTCTAATACATACATTCGACCCTAATAAGTCGAGCATCTGTCAGTTGTAAAAAAAAAAAAAGCTTGTCGTTTCAATTGAGGGCTTTCGGACGCTACTTGTTTAACACCGCGAGGTTGAATTCAGCCCGAAGATTCACGAGATTGCGCCGAGATGAGGAGAGTCGCGTATTTTTTTTCTTCCTCACGGCGAGAGAAACGCGCGACTTGACGACTACAATTTGCAGCGCGCGCATTCAAAGGCGGCTACTTGTCCTATTTGCGACGAGCGTCTGTCGCTTGTGCCACTCGTCCTCGTCGTCGTCGTCGTCGTCATCGTCGCTACCTCTCGCATTTGCCTTTATCGTAATTGGCGAGGCGAGAAAGCGGACTCTTCGGGTGCTGCTGCCGATCGGCGCGAAGCTTGTTAACGAACTATAATTATCGCTCGCGCTGATCGTCTTTTTTTTTTCTTTTTTTTTCTTTTTTTGCTTTGCGCGCGCGTCGCAATAAAGCGATCGAGATAATTCAATTTCGTAGCCGAGAGTCTCCGGGAATTATCGTCTTCTCGCATCATCACGACGAGCAAGCAGATCGCTATTCAAAGCGCGGGGCACGTATTCGTCCGCGCTTTCAGCGCGAAAAACTCCCCGGAGCAAGTCGTCAGCAGTTCGAGACGTCGATTCTCGAAGTCTGCATAAGCCGTCACCGATCGCCGTTATGGAATCGGGTTTTGGCCTGAGATCCGCAAGTCGGGAGCGGAATTTTTATACGATGAGACCGGGAAAACGCGTGCCATTTACTCGGAACGTTCCGCTGTATTTCCCCGTTTCCGTTACTTTGACTGCCGCTTTCTCATGTTTAATTCAGGATTTGGACGTTGGTCGCGTCGATATAGACGGGAGTGTACTTTGGCGATTCCCGTCTCGTGTGAGTTCGCGTCTCCTTGTCT